AGAATCCGCGTAATCTTTAATTTCTTGTCCGAGCAATTTATCTAACGATTTGTGCGAAGAGTGGCACGCTCTCTCGTGCCTGGCGCCCAACGAATTTTTGATAGCGATTAAGATCTTTGCTGAGTAAAGTAACTTGTCAACTACTGTAAATTCTCGAATCACGAAAGAATTAATGAAGAACCGCACTATTGCTCCTTTAAGTATTTTGTATTCTAACTAAGAGCTTTCACATAATTATATTTTTTTTGGAGGACGCGACGAAGTTGTGCTGACACTCAAAAGTACGGTTACAATATATAAAAATATTAAAATTAAAATATCGAAATATAGAGATATGTTCGTCGTCGAGGAAGTATAAGTGTCTACGTGTTTGATTTCGAGGAAGTGAGTGGCTAGGTGTTCGCCTTCGAGGAAGTGAGTGTCTAGGTGTTCGCCTTCGAGGAAGTGAGTGTCTAGATGTTCGCCGTCGAGGAAATGGATGTTTAGATGTTCGCCGTCGAGGAAGTGGGTGTCTACGTGTTTGCCTTCGAGGAAGTGAGTGTCTAGGTGTTCGCCGTCGAGGAAATGGGTGTCTAGGTGTTCGCCGTCGACAAAATAAGTGTCTAGGTGTTCGCCGTCGAGGAAGTGAGTGTCTAGGTGTTCGTCGTCGAGGAAATGGGTGTCTAGGTGTTTGTTTGTAAGAAACGTCGTTGTCGTCGTCGTCGTCATTGTTGCCAGCTACGAAGTGAGGAAATACATTCTGGAATTTTTGGCGCAAGAGATAAATGTGGTCGCGAGTCGGGTATCTATAAATCACATCGATGGCATAGACCATGGTATAATAAGTAAGATATAGCAATACGCATTTTGGGGAAGGGGCGGCCAATCAGAAATCCCGGGTTTTGAAGGCGGGAATTTAAAATTGTTTTGTTTTTGACTGGTATCGTTTTTACACTGGTGTCACCTTGGAATGGAAGGCTCGCTAACCAAGGCGGGCGTGAATGAGAACCTTCTTGTTTTAACAATTAACAATTTATTAATGCCTTTTCGATAATCAGAATCGAGTTATCGTGGTAATAGTACATTCTTAATTAACCACATATCACTGTACGTCACGGCTCGCTACGACTGTTCATTAAAGGTGATGGTTAATTGGTAGCTCGATATGCGAAAGTCAGTTCGTGTAATGGTATAATGCGATTGCACGTTATACCCTCGCGATGCGTATTGCAATTCAAGATCTCACTTGACTGGTAACGTGAAAATATGTGGTGAATCCGTTGGTTGCTCACTCCGGAGCACACGTTTGCGAGGCGTGAATACGGGATATTGATCCGGTAACGATCGAGATCAGACTGGTCTAACGAAGGATTCACGCAGAACGAGTGCGCGGAGCGCGCAATTTCGGATGCTGCGCAGAGGGGCGAGCATTCCATCTGAGACAGATGGATTAAAGAGAGCGACAGCGAGATCTACGCGAACGGGGATACGTGGATGCGTGGAACTGTCAAGAATATAATTTAAATGACGATGATTCCGTAACATACCGCCCGCCTCGAATGTGGGCATTCGAAATAAGCAACATCAGTGCTTATTGATGCAATTTACAGAGATTATGCAGTACGAACAGATATAATCGCAATATTGGTACATTGGAAACGTTAAACAGAAAATCCGCCCGCCATGACGGAATCATTTGACTCCTCTGTATTAATTGGAACGGGTAAAAAACAAAGCTTCGTAATTGGTCGTTTGTATTTCGACCGACTGGTTTTTACTGTTACAACGCGAATCAAGCCATCGTCCCCGGGATAACAGGCCGTGATACGACCGAGCTCCCAATGACTTGGAGGAGCCAAAGTGTTCCGTACAAGGACGATTTGACCTATTTTGGCCAGTCGCTGAACCGTGCGCCATTTTGGGCGTTGTTGAAGGGTGTGCAAGTAATCATTCGACCAGAACCTCCAAAAACCTTCGGTGATACGTTGAATCATTTGCCAGCGCGAAAGTCGGTCTTCAAGTCGAGCACGCTGGGTTCGGCAGGAGCGGTAAGAGGCGTACCCACTAAAAAATGACCGGGGGTCAGCGCGTGATAATCGTCGAGATCATCTGAAACGGGAGCGATCGGGCGCGAATTAAGACACGCTTCGATCCGACAGAGAAGCGTGGACATCTCCTCAAAGGTTAGCGTGTGGATACCGATGCATCGCTTTAAGTGATGCTTGACACTTTTGACTCCAGCTTCCCACAGGCCGCCGAAGTGCGGCGCTGAGGGGGGTAGGAAATGCCACGCAGTTCCATCGGTTGCGAGTTGGTTGGCCGTATCGACCTCCTATCACATAGTTTGGAGGCGGGAGCCATTAACTAAATAAGAAGAAAGGTTGCGAGTTGGTTACGAAAGGAGCTCTCGCGAATCGCTTTTGCATGCGCGTTGGACATTTCTCGATTGGCGCCATGAAAAGTGGTGCCGTTATCAGAGTACATAGCTTTCGGTAATCTTCGGCGGGACACAAACCGCTGATACGCTGCAATGAAGGTCGACGAAGTATAATCACTGACTAACTCTAAATGTAGAGCTTTAGTCGTGAGGCAGACGAATAACGCGATATATGCTTTCCGCGATTTATGTCCTCGACCGGGATTGGTTCGGACGGCGATCGGGCCTGCATAGTCGACACCGGTATGAATAAATGCGCGTACTGTACGGTTAACTCTTGCGGCCGGAAGATCACTCATGAGTTCAGGGGGGTGATTGTGTATCTTAAAACCTAGTGAAAATCATAAAAGTGAGCTCTCACTTGATTGGCTAATTTTCATCATAGTGAGAATGCGATATTTTTCACGTGAGATTGTTCGGCAAGAAATTTCTAGTGAATTGTGCCAAAGTGTGCCTATAACCTGCACAGTCGTCAACGCTTAATATCTCGGTTCGTAGGGCAGAGAGACACTTTTTTCTGTCAGATTCTTTCGTTTTATACAAAAAACGCATCGATTGAGTATATTTTAATCAAAATTTAAGAGGAGCGGGTTCTTGTATAAACAAGAATTATATTTACCGTGTGTCTAGTCGAAATTGTTCAAACGAAATTTTGCTTATTTAACGTAATGGACATTTTTATGCTTCTTTGCATGGAGGAAAATGAAAATAATGACAATAATATTCGTAAAAAAAATTTAAATTTAATTAGAAGACGATTACGGGATACACAAGATCCATTCGATATCCCAAACAGTACATTTCAAAAGTTATATAGGTAAAGTATATACCTAAATAAATTATGCTTTATATGTTATGAATTATAAACATTAATGTGCATAATTATTAATATGTGCAAAACATTAAAAACGTTTGAAAAATGTATATTTAGTGTAGTTTTTAAACATGTACGCTATTATATGGAATAATACTTGTTTGTTATTTCTACCTCTATACTAATTGTAAATAATATCACAATATTATAACTATACTGAAAAAAGTTAAAAGGACGTTGTAAGAGTCAAAAGAAATAATTTAAAACAACAATTAAAAAAAGAAAAACGCATATATGTAATACATTAAAAATTAACAATATAAAAATATTTGTAATAAAATTCGAAAATGTACATTAAAAAATAACAATATTCAAAAACCTGCTAAAACCTGCTAACGTTTCGACTCGTGGATTGAGTCTTTTTCAAAGCGCAAACATATTCTTAAAGTTAAAATTCTTCGGATTAATTCTGCAAAACCATCTTCATCACAACCAACTATTGTTCTTCTAGCGATTAGTAGATCGTAAGAAAGAAGTCAGCTATAAAAATTATGCAGATATGACACGCTTTAGAATCAAGAAAATTGTACGTTAACAAAAATTGTAACAATATCAAACCTTTGGAGATGGACAACATTATTCAAAGATGTCTAAATCAGTCAGTACACTACGCAATCTATTCGTCAATATGTAATTTTTAACGTCAAAAATAATAATTTTTAACGTCACGATTACGTTGTACATACCAAACCCTCGCGCAAAGCGTATGATGTGCACAAATAATCCTAAGCTTGCGAAATTGTTATCTAAACAAAAAGGATAATCGAAAATATTTGTTTGACGCGTAATCGTTTTGCTGGCACAGAGATAAACGATGGTAAACAGAGAATTGTGTGGTACTTCTCGTACTTTCATGCTTTCATGTCACATGAAAAAATACGCGCGATTGGCTATGATCGTAGTGAAAATACGATATCCCTATGCTTACGGGAGCTAAACGTGAAATATATTGCGCATATGAATCAATATGGAGATGTGAATAAGAAATATAACCTCTTTATCTTCGCGGAAATTGACAGAGATATGTAAAAAGGTGTATATTAAAAAATTTTTTGCAAACAATTATTGCGACCTATGACAAAAATGAACATAACCGAGAAACAAAAAGAAATATTACTTTCCTTTATGCAAAGATATCTCGATTTCGGCAGAGGACATTTACGATACAACAGTGAAAATAAACGAAAATTAAATTAAATTAAATTAAATTTAAATTAAATATATAATAATTTTAATAAAATAATAATTTTAATTAAATAATAATAATTTTAATAATAATTTTAATAATAATTTTAATTAAATAATTTTAATAATAATTTTAATTTTAATTTCTTTTGCGAATATTATTGTCATTTTCATCTTCCTCTATGCAAAGAAGCATAAAAATGTCCATTGATATGCCTTAAATAAGATAAATTTCGAACAATTTCGACTGATTTCGACACACTTTGGCACAATTCGACAAGAAATTTCTTGCCGAACAATCTCACGTGAAAAATATCGCATTCTTACTATGATAAAAATTAGCCAATCAAGTGAGAGCTCACTTTTATGATTTTTACTAGGTTTTAAGATACATAATCACCCCCAATTCATATGCGCAATATATTTCACGTTTAGCTCCCGTAAGCATAGGGATATCGTATTTTCACTACGATCATAGCCAATTGCGCGTATTTTTTCATGTGACATGAAAGTACGAGAAGTGAGGAAAGTCGACAAAGATACACAATTGACCCCCAGTAGGTATGTCGGCACGTTCTCGCGTACATTGTATACATTTATAAAGAACGCCTCGAACTGTAGCGCGGGCACGGAGAATCCAGAATTCGCTTCGCAATGATGCGAGCGTTAATTGAACGCCGGAATGCAGCATCCGAAGGTGATGATGCTGGATAATGAGTACCACCAGCGGGTGTGAACGCAAGACGAGGGGATTCTTCGTCGCTCCTGGGAGGTTGGCTCGTCGGAGTCTTCCCCGCAAACGAATAAGTCCCTCCTTATCTAAATAAGGGTTCAGAGTTGATAGCGGGCTGTTTTTTGGCAACGGACGCTGTTGATTTAGAGCTGCGATCTCACTCGGAAACATGTGCGACTGCATCCGACCAAGCCAGTAACTCTTGGCTTGTTGAATTTTTTTGGGAATCAAAGTGACGGCACAAAATTGTGAATCTTTACAAGCTCGGAGTCGATTCAGAAAGTGATAAAGATACGCGGTGATCCTTAGTAATTTTGGCCACGAAGAATAACGAGACTCGAGATCCCAGGTTGATGTGGCATGTAAGGCACATACTGGGGGATCCGAGCGGTGTTCCAGAGGAGCATTGGAAGGGACCGAAGGGCACAAATGAGGCCAAGACTCGGGAGGTTGTCGTAACCAGGGAGGGCCTGACCACCACAGGTCATGTTTCTCCAATAAGTCGGGAGCGAGACCGCGTGATGCGCAGTCCGCTGGATTTGTTTGCGTCATGATATGACGCCATGGTACTTCGGGGATTAGTGATTGAACAGTCGAAACACGATTGGCTACAAAGGTTCTCCATCGGGAAGGTGACTGAGCCAACCAGGCAAGTGTAATGGTGGAGTCAGTCCAGCAATGACACTCTATATTCGGGAGCTGAAGCGCTGAGCGCGTAAATTGAATTAACCGCGCGAGGAGCATTGCAGCGGACAATTCTAAGCGGGGAACGCTTATTGTTTTAAGAGGGGCCACTTTTGATTTGGCAGTTAGAAGAGTTACGGTAACGGAGCCGTCGTGACTGACGGTGCGAAGATACACCACTGCAGCGTAAGCTGCTGTCGATGCGTCGGAAAAACCGTGAAGGGCGCGGTGTACGGTCTGAGAACTGGAAGTGGTCCAGCGCGGTATGCTCAGAGCATTAAGGTACGGAAGTCGTTTATAATAGTCCATCCAACAATCAAGAAGTTGGCGAGGGATTTCATCATCCCAGTGGCAATGAAGTGCCCACAATCGTTGCAAGAAAATTTTGGCTGTGACAGTGACAGGGGTAGCCCATCCTAATGGATCAAAAAACTTAGCAGTTGTCGACAGAATGACTCGTTTGGTGCAGGCGGATGACGATGGTAGAGTGACGCGAAATTGAAATATATCTAATTTAAGATTCCAAATTATTCCTAATACTTTAATGTGCTCATCGTCTTGCATGACTTTATGAGTGGCTAAACCATGATCGGATGAATCGATATCGGATAACAGATCCGAGTCGTTACTCGCCCATTTGCGAAGGCGAAAGCCTCCCTTTTTAATTCTATTAATTGATCGCGTGTTTGACGAGTGAGATTTTGGTCGTCGGCGCCGAAGGCGCAGTCGTCGACATATGTCTGATGACGGAGAACGGTGGCGGCCAGCGGAAATTTGGCTCCTTCATCGTCTACAAGCTGATCCAAGACTCGGAGGGCAAATATGGAGCGGCAGCTGTGCCGTAGGTTACTGTGAGAAGAAGGTACTCCGTGATTGGTTCACCGGAGTTCGGTCGCCATACAATGCGTTGGTAGTTGGTGTCGCGTGAATCGACTAAAATTTGCCGGTACATTTTAGTAATGTCGGCGGTAAATACGTAACGGTATTGGCGCCACTGCATGATGACCGTGGCTAAGTCCCTTTGCAGTTTAGGGCCAATGAGCATATGATCGTTCAACGACATCCCGTTTGAAGTACGGCAAGATGCGTTGAAGACTACTCGGAGTCGTGTGGTTGCACTGCTGTCGCGTAGGACAGCATGATGCGGGATATAGTAAACTTGGTTTGATGTAACAATTTCGGCGGGTGTAACTTTGGTCATATGACCGAGGGTTTCATATTCTGTGAGAAAATCGCGGTACAGGGAAGCTTTGGTTGTGTCTCGAAGTAGGCGTTGTTCCATGCTATGAAAGCTTGAAATCGCGTTAGAGCGAGATTCGCCTTATGAGATTGGCGGTCCGATTTTAAACGGCAATCGTACTATGTAGCGTCCGTCAGACGTACGTGAGTGTGTGGTTTCTGAAGTGTTCATCGCACTGATGTTCCTCAGGGTTGCGAAGAATTTGCCGAGGTACTTCCCAGAATCGACAAAGATCGCGCTCGAGAGTTTCAAGGACAACACCGTGATGCGCAAATTCGATAGTAGAGTGATTAGCTGAAAACGAGGCTGTTGGTCCTGAAAGGATCCAACCGAGAGTGGTATTTTGCGCGGTAGGTTCATTCGGAGCTCCTTTTCGGACTCCGTTGATGATGAGCAGGCCGAATAGATCGGCACCTATGATAAGATCGATCGGATCCGAGCTCATAGGGTCATCATCGGCAAACTTAAGTCCCTTGAGGTGGCTCCAGTTACGAGCTGTCTGGATTTGATTTGGCACGTATTTGGTTAATGATCGTAATATAAGCGCGATTGTCGAGTAAGCAGGTCCATCGCGATCCGCGGGGGTAATGGTAATTTGGGCAGCGTAACGCACGACGGACTGCATTTCGCTTATACCGGTGATGAAGGCGGAACGATTAATTTTCTTAAGTCGTAGGCGTTGCGCAAGCGATTCTGTTATAAAGGTAGCGGCAGATCCTTGATCAAGGAGCGCACGAGCATTTACAAAGCATGTATGAGACGAATAAACTCGTACGCGAGCTGTTGCAAGTAAGATGTGAGAGTTCGGTGCTACTGTTTTCGTTATTAAATGCGACGCAACGGCGCTTAGACTTTCAAGATTCGCGGTGGTGGACGTCGACGGTTGCTCAGTAGCGAGTGGCTGAGCGGGGATATCAAAATGTAGTAAGGTGTGATGCCGTTTATTACACTGTTTGCACGAGCGAGAATTCGTACAATCCTTAACAGAATGTTTTACACTGAAACAGTTGGAACATCGCTTTTGGGTTTTAATGAAATCGAAACGTTGAATGGGAGTTTGCTTTAAAAACGTAGAGCATTGATACAATAGATGGTTCGCTTTACATAATGGACATAAGAACGGAGCGTTAGACGCGGCATGCGAGGCAATTGTTTTGCCTTTGGAGGTCGTCGGTGATTTATCCTTTGAAATCGCGGGTGCTATTGCGTCGAACGCGCGAATGCGAGCTTCGAGAAAACGATCGAGCTCGCTGTAACGTGGATATTCCACCGTATCGCCGAGCTTAAGTTCCCACGCCTTTCGTGTTGATTTATCAAGTTTTTGTGACACTAGAAATACAAGCAAATCATCCCAGTGTTCGGTAGCGCAGCCGAGATTGCTTAGCGCTTGAAGAGCTTTATTCGTTTGATCGCGAAGGGAACGAAGGTCGTTGGAGGTCTCTGAAGCGATCGAAGGTAAATTGACAAGCGATTGTAAATGTACCGTAATAAGGCGACGTTTATTGTCATACCGAGACACGAGAATATTCCACGCGATAGTGAAATTATTATTGGTAACCGCGAGATGGTCAAGAGCGTTACTTGCACTTCCTTTTACACATGAACATAAGTAATGCATGCGATCAACATTCGTTAAATTATGATCATCGCAGATCATCGATTTGAATTTGTCGCGAAAACTTTCCCATTTCTCGAAACTTCCGTCGAAGGTCGGCAAGTTGATTCTCGGCAGATGTGACGTGGCCCGAAATGAATTATTAATCCCACTTACTTCATGTGCAGCGGAAGAGAGTTCGCGGGATTCGTGACTGTCCAGTAGTTCAGCCATGAAATCGGCTGCTTCGTTGTAACAATCCTCACAGGTTAGGAAATAATTTTGGGTGAAGTACGCATGAGTTGCCTTTACCTTCTCGTCCGCAGCTAAAAGTTGAACGTCCAGCTCTTGGCATTTGGTAAAGGTTTCCTTGAGAGTGTTGAGGCGTTGCCGCGTTACGGCAGGTGTCATCTTGGCTTGTCCCAACTTCTTGAAATTAGGAAGCGCGCGAGATATTGCGCTCATCAGGTGAGTCTGCATCCTCAACAATTCATCGATAGAGGCCATGATTTCCAACGGAAGAGGCACGTCAATAAATAACGAGTCAAAGACACAGTATTTATCCTCGGTAGCGATCCGGCTCAAAGGACCAAAATGTTTTGTTTTTGACTGATATCGTTTTTACACTGGTGTCACTTTGGAATGGAAGGCTCTCTAACCAAGGCGGGCGTGAATGAGAACCTTCTTGTTTTAACAATTAACAATTTATTAATGCCTTTTCGATAATCAGAATCGAGTTATCGTGGTAATAGTACATTCTTAATTAACCACATATCACTGTACGTCACGGCTCGCTACGACTGTTCATTAAAGGTGATGGTTAATTGGTAGCTCGATATGCGAAAGTCAGTTCGTGTAATGGTATAATGCGATTGCACGTTATACCCTCGCGATGCGTATTGCAATTCAAGATCTCACTTGACTGGTAACGTGAAAATATGTGGTGAATCCGTTGGTTGCTCACTCCGGAGCACACGTTTGCGAGGCGTGAATACGGGATATTGATCCGGTAACGATCGAGATCAGACTGGTCTAACGAAGGATTCACGCAGAACGAGTGCGCGGAGCGCGCAATTTCGGATGCTGCGCAGAGGGGCGAGCATTCCATCTGAGACAGATGGATTAAAGAGAGCGACAGCGAGATCTACGCGAACGGGGATACGTGGATGCGTGAAACTGTCAAGAATATAATTTAAATGACGATGATTCCGTAACAAAAATTGTTAACATGTCTAGTCGGTGAAAAGAAATAAATTTGTTAAAAGATAAAATGTAAAATTATTAAATATTATAATTTATTAAATAAAGGTTTCGACAAGTATAAAATTATTAAGTTTAGTCAAATTCTGAAAAAAACCATTGGAGGAAAATTGGAATATTCCATTAATAGAAGATAACGATAGAAATAAATATGTTCAGTAGAAATATGGATCGAATGTTGGGATCATATTTCATTTTGATCAATCATTGAAATTTGGTCAAATCATAATCAAATAGTAATGAAAGTCTTTACGCAAATGCAATTTAGTATCGAACAATGAATTTTATAACCTCTTTATTCGGTAACAGTTGTACTGTATTTATGTAATTAAGTTCCTGAAAATTTTTTCTTCCACAGATTGATTGCATCTAGTCGAGTAGAAAATAGTTGTAAGTGATTCTGCATAATAATTTTTAAATGTGAACATTGTTGATGCAGATTGTGTAAGAAAGAAAAGTTTGTTTTACTCTGAAATGCAGCCAAGATCTCAAGTGGCTCCCCTTCGAAATAAAGGTATAAAATTAGTGATTCGAGTACATATATCTCTTATATCTCTTGTCGTATTGCACGTAAAATACGTGAGAACAAAAAGTATGCTCGACTTGACAACATATGAGGTGACTCCGCCTTAAAATTTTAAGATAAAGAAATTTTTATCTGTTGTTAGATCGAATGCGTAGTGTGCAAGAAAGAAAATCATATCCGACTCGACATTACATCCAATATCCCAAATGACTACGCTTTTAAGATGTACAAGACAACTTAGCTTTACATTTGTGATTGCATTGGAAGTATGTTCCATTATCAGTCCAACATCGGATTTGCATAAAGTTTTTCTTTGCTGATTTATTATAAAATTTTACTGATAATATTACTGATTTTCAAAAAAAATGCTTCAACGACATCTAAAATTCACCTAATATTTTACTAGATAAAACATGTCAGATAAATATATATGTATATACATGTCGTACGACATTTACTATATGTACACAGAGTAAAACTGTTAAGAGACTAAAAAATTAATTAAACTCATTTATCGATACTAAATATTAGGCTAAGCAAGAACTTTGCGAAAAGACTTACATTAATGATTTTATATTTTTATTTGAATGAAGATCTATTTTATTAAAAGTTCTTTAACGACACTACAAATCACAATAAGTCGCAAAACCCGGAACATCCTATTGGTCGTCTACTGCGCCGCCACCAACCGTTATACCTTACTTATTATACCATGGCATAGACGAACACGTAAGTGAGGTTAGAATAAATATCGACCGCTGCGATTTGTACGATCGTTAAAGTTAGGTAAAGAGTCTCGGCAATAACAAAGGATTGAGGTTAGGAAATCTATCGTATCGATGGCATAGAATAGACGAACACGTAAGTGAGGTTGGATATTTTCTGCTTTATTACACAAATTCTCTGCTGTAATTCTGCTGTAAGAATACAAATTATTTTCTTTTTACAGCATTTGGTTAGGTTACTTATTTACCACCTACAACTCGAATTCAATTCGTTGAAACAAAAACCGACGGAAATTCACTTAGACACACGCGGCACTTAATGAGACGTACCGCGCTTCCGACTCGCTATTTATACCGTTTGCGGCTTCTTTGTCAGCGTGAACGCGTCTTCCTAGAACAGATATCGTTATCGCGCAAGATAACGCGTCTTCCTAGAAGCGAAAGATAACGGGTAGTACTTTGATAACGTTCAGCAGCCATCGGCGCTCTTCCTAGAAGATAACGCGTAGTAATTTGATACGTTCAGCAGCCATCGGCGCTCTTCTTAGAAGATAACGCGAAGTAATTTGATAACGTTCAGCAGCCATCGGCGCTCTTCTTAAAAGATAACGCGTAGTACTTTGATCCTTGTGCGAACGCGTTTTGAAAACGCTCGGCATGCGTCACGTGATCAGTGCCATGTGATCGCTGCGCGAACCTGTCGTCGCCTGCATCGGCGGCCCGTTGGCGGCGGCGGCGGCGGCCCCAGGGCGAGGGG